ATTGGAAAGATTCTAACTTCAATCGCAATTAAATCTAGACACGATCTAACCTCGAATCGCGAATCGTGCAGTGTCTGGCTTCACCATAATAATTCGTGTGGTTACTATTTCAGTGAGTGTGAAAGAATATCAAATTGTTGAATTTATAAACGAAAGGAAAGATGACAAAATTTCTATCGATTGTGTCCCGTCCAACTGGGTAACGTACGATCGCAATTTACGTTCCTGCGTATGTAAATTTATGCCTCCTCCATACAATGGAAAGATGCGGTTGAAATTAGATAGTCTTGTTACGGCTAAACGTGACGCACCAAAATCGTGGCTGTCCTATCCGATATATATAAGAGGTGAAGCAGGTATAAATAATTATTTTATTATTATTATAATTACTTTTCGAGATCTCAGTTTGATTGCTCTATTATTTCCTATTTTCTTTTGTAGAAACATTAAAAGAAGCACGACAAAAAATGCAAAAAATTATTCGTCAAACACAATCATATGCATACTCTACTGATAATGATGAACATGCTAAAGAACGGTCGACACGTTCGATAAAATTTTTTGAAGGAAAAGCGAAAATGAATCGTGAAGAAGCTATTGAGAAAATTATGTACGGCAGCGATAATGAAAGGTCACGTAATTCGTCACATGAATACAGTTCTTCTGTGACCTGTTAGTATCAATTTCATTTGTATCATTTATTATTGTTTTAAACGTTATTTTCAAATCAGTTTATTTTTATTTTTTAAAGCAAGTGATCAAAGTGAAATTGAAAGTGCGTCTTTAGAAAGAAATAAAAAGACTTCAGCAACAATTGAAAAGAAAAAAATGGAAAAAAACGCAAAAGTAAATATCTCGTCAAATACAAGACCGAATATCCCGGAAAATAATCTAAAAGATGCTATTGAATCATCGAATGATCTTTTGCAAGCATCTGACTCAAATAATGAAACTATAATTGAAAATCAAGATGTGCAGCATATAGAAAGTGATCAGAATACTGAATTTCCAAAAGGTATACAAACTATATTGTCTATATTATTATGAAAAGTTACATTGCTAGTATTTCTTTTTCTTCACATAGTAGATAATTATAAACTTCTTTTAGGAATTGTTTTACTTCATAAAGCAATAAAATCTTTGACTCTAGAAGTATCTATGCAAAACCAGCAGATAAGACAACTAAAAAATGCTGTTGAACAATTTCTTAAAGTAAAAATAGATCCAATGACTGTGGAAAAATTTGTCACTAAACATAATGTAGCACTTAAATTATCAGATATAGCAGCATTTCAAGATTTTGAGAATAATTTGTGTGCAGGTGGAGAATTTCTTTCTGATTTTGTAAGTTTTATATTTTTTATTCACTTTAACATAAATTTCCGTATACAGGGT